GGAGGATAAATAATAATAAGAGAAGAAGGAAGTCTGATAAGGAGACTCTCAGGGCAGTCATCATCTTAGTCGATAGCATATTAACTACATCAACTCAATCATAATCAGGCAAAGAGGAGCAGCGCCCAGAGCTGGGTAAACTTACCGGGGGAGAATGAAGTTTCCTCTGAGAATTTTCCGCTTAGTCACACGCATCATCTGTCAGTCTGCCACGCCTCCGAGTCCCGGCTCCCGACTCCAACTTCTTCGCAAGTGACAAATTGAGCAGTTGGCATTGTCTCCGGAACCGAAAGGAGCTGATGAGATGTGATGCCGCCGTCGCCGCCAGGAGATGAGCAGAAGATGAGCCCTGAATGGATGGATGGATGGGGTGGAGGGGGAGAAACTTTTCAATTACTTGCAAGGAGCAGGACCAAAGACGGAGTCTGAGCAGTAATGAATAATAATCTGTTCTCCCTGTGGCCCCCGGCCCCAACTCTGCTTCATCATTAGTGGCAATCCTTGGAGAGACACGTTCCCCGGCTTTTCCTTGAACAATTTCAGGCTGGCACAATATTTACTCTGCTCCAGCTCCTGATGAGCTTACTCGGGCTGGGTCTCCGGGTCGGTCATTCTCCTGCAATTAAAAGGACATCGAAGTTCTGCCCTGTGGCCTCCGCCTCGTTTCAATTACAAAGTGGCTTTCATTTCTAATTGAATCGTGAGCTTGCCTCCGATTTTGATTCCGATTTGTACTTTATGCCGGCACTCAGCACTCTATTTTGTTTGCCTTTAGTTTTCCTTGTTGACCAACTCAAATTGCTGCCAAAAGGTCATGAACTCTGATTGGGTTAATGTTTATTTAATATTAAGTGCGGCCCTTCTAAGAGAGGTATGGATTTCAGAGGAGTCTTAGACAATTTACCAGAGTTTTCGCTTTTAAATTCTTTAATATTTATACATTTTTATTATATATTAATAACAAAATTTTCAGATTTTTATATTAAACACGAATATTTATTTTTCCGTTTGAATGCATCTTCAATGGCTATTGATAACGTTTTAAAATATTATAGAGCCCCAACCCTAGTCGTGATAGAAATCTTTTTCAGTAAAAACAAGCTGTGCTGCTGCTGCCCAATGCCAACACCTAACAAAAATTAATTGTCTGAACAAATTAGCTGGGGGAAACAACAAAAATATACATTTTCCCCATTTTCCCCCGCTTTCCGTGCCATCGGGCAGGCATTTGCAATCATTTTCCATTTACAGGGACAACAAAAGCGAATGTCGCTCGTTATTTTTAATCAGCTATCAAAATTTATTGCTGAAAATTTGTCTGTCGGTGCTCGGTGCTTGGCCGGTGGGCAGGTGCCATTTCGACCATGGTCCATTCGCATTACAGGTTCATTAAAATCGGGACACAGCGAAATATTTTACGCGAATTTAATAAACTTGGGGAATTGGGCAGAGGCATTAAAGCTAATGTTTCCATTTTCTGATAGGAGTTCTGTTAGTTATGCGTCGCATTTGGGGATATGTTCACGATATCAGCATGGCCAGCATGAATATTTAAGGGGAAACCAGGCTCCAGGACTCAATGCGATTGTATCGCAACAGCAAGTTGTTGCTTTTTTTCCTACCAAATATGGCATAATCATTGATTTATGACAAAGCAGGCAAAGTTTTCTCCCTTCTTTTAGTTGTGCTAAAAAAAGAGGCAGCCGTCAGTCGCTGAACCTTTGAGAACCTTGACTAATCTGGTCATATTTTACTCCGGATTCAGGATCTCTCCGGCTGAAATCATAGCATACATTTAAGGGCCCGACATAATTCAAGTGCTCGGATTATTGTTCCGTTGCCGTCGCCGGATCCTTGGCTGTTGTTGTTATGCCGAAAGCACTTAGCGGTCATTCAATCAACGAGCCACTAAGTGAAGAAAGTGGACTTGGACCCTTCGATAGGAGGAGGTCTCCATAGCCATTGCTGGAAAGTGTTCGAGCGGAACAACAAATTTGCATAATATTCTTTTATGGCTTACGCTCTGCGGTCTCTGAGGGGGTCATAGGGTCGGGAAACTTGAGTAGGGCGGAGAGAGTGGGGACCTGTTTTGAGGGTTTGTTGGCTGGCATTTATTGAGTGGCTCTTAATCCCTGGCATATTTCAATTAGTGTCAACTTTTTGATTTTATGTAAACACAAGTATGGCAGCTCTACTCCCTCCACATCCTTCCACTTTGCTGTTATTCTAATCAGAGCAGGACACACTCACACACCCTCGAATTACATACCGACACATGAGTGCTGGTCACGCAATCCTGCGGTTGGGCCTGTGTTGGGGTTACAGCACCACACGGCGTATGTGTGATTTTTGTGTGGTCGAGGGCCTCGATTGCAGCCATTTGTGGCTAAGGTCAAAGGATATATATGGCAAATCCCCCAAAGGCATGCAGATGTTCTTGATTTTAAGTTTAAGCTTAGATATATGCGAAGCTAAACACTTTTTACAAAATAATCAAATAACTGGGAAATATGTTACATACAAGAAATAACTGAAACAGCAACTGGATTTATTTTAGCTTTCAATATAAACATGGAAAAGCTGCAGTATTGTTATGTACATTTTCTGCAAAAGAAGCAAACATTTTACAACAGAAAATCATTGGCTTTTATTTTGTGTAAAAAATATGCTGCACAGTAAGTGAAAAGCTTAAACGAAACAATAACTGAGTTACATTTTAAATTCTTTCTTTTATTTGATTTTACATTTATTCTACTGGTATTTATATTTATTCGTATCAGTGTGTATTTAACTTTATATCTGATATATTAAACCCATATTAAGACGCCCATTTAAGGTTTCAACTGAAATTCCTTATATTCGTTGTTACATAAAATTATATATAGAAGCAAGCTCATTTTGGTTTAGATGACAAACCTCCCACCCCGCGCCTCAATATACAACTATTGCATTATGGAGTGCAAATATTTGCCTAGTTTTCCTGCTCCTCGCCGCCTGTAAAAGGATATGTGACATGTTGAGAGGTGTCCGGGTGCTTTGGCAACCCTTTTGCCGAAGCAATCAACTCAAACTGCTGACAAGTAATGCGGGAACAGCTCGCTGGCATTTCTCGATGGGGATTCCCATATCAAAGGTGTTTCATTACACAAAAGTAAACGACATCTGGCATCTGACCCGCCGCTACCTTCATCAGCAAACACCTTTCCGCCGGGCATTTACAGCACTTTCAGCGGGCAGACTTTAAGGTTACCTGAAATGGACGTAAACACGGCAGGCACGGATGTTGCCAAAGGTCCGGAAGCCAAGCCCATCTCCGAACAGACCACAGACTCGTCAGCCGTCGGTCGTCCGACTGTCGTTTGTTTACATAACATCAGCCAGGATGTTGTCGGTTAGGAGGAGACCGGAAACCGAAAGGTATTCTCCGACTCCTGTGTGGGCACATGCGCAGTGTCTGTGAGCCGTGTCCTGTCTGCAACTGTTGCTTCCTTTTTTCTGATTGCACTGGCACTGACACTAATCCAATCTGGTCGAATCAGCAGCGGAACGAGGCGGCCAGGCGGAAAGGGTATCTCCTGACCAGTCCCAATTGGTGCCACTAATTGCGAGCAGTGCACAAAGGCGCCGCGGCGCCAATGGATTTAATTTGCAGTCTCGCAAATTGCACAACTTGGTTAAAACAATTGTCGAAAGTTGAATTCGTTAAATGGCAGTCGAAGGGAGAATTCAATTACACTTGGCAGACTGTCAAAGCAATATAAATTTATCGAAGCGAAACAGTTGGACATGAGATCCCGAGAATCCTTCAAAAGGTAATCAAATTTTAAGAGCTTTTCCGACAGCACGTGCCTCTAAGGGAGGCCATTAAACCGTCGCCAATTGTCTGTGATAAAGCCGCGTTTTTTCGACAGGACACCGGCTGATAACATACCGCTAATCCCCCAGACATGAACTTATCAGCGAAGCAAACACACTGTTCCATAACCCTTACCGTTTAAACTTTCAACCCCTTGCCCCCCATCACAACTTCACACAGATTTATCCCGTAATGAGTTCTAGAAAAAACACCCAAGAAAAGAAAATCCAAAGCCAGTTGCAACCCTCAATGCAGCAATGACAGTCTAAGGAACACAATAAGCAGCCACAGAAAAAGTATAAAAGCACTAAATAGTTGCAGGACTTGCAGGAAGCGGGATAAGCCGGAGAAAAAGCGACAGCAGAGTGCTAAAGTTCACACCAATCCCCCGCCAGGGAACACACAAAAAGGGTGCAAATAGGATAATAAAGCGGAAGAAAGAACAAATATGCGTTGATCTGTGGCAAGGACTTAACAATGGCTATATATAAAATAAAGTAGAGAGCAAGAAAATAATCAAATTGCAATAAAACTAAGGGAAATGGAATCCCCCCTCTAATGCGGCAAGTAAACAAAATGGGCACGTGACCAGAACTCACAGAGGGATGGACACACACTCAAGGATATGGCGAAAGTTGCCGACTGGCCAACAAATTGCCGCACGAAAGTAATCCTGACAGGCTGCAGATTGTTGCGCCATCATAAAGCCCAGTAGGAGACTCGAGTATAAGGAAGCACTTCTTCGGTAGCCGGACAACCAAACATGAAAGGGGAAAAGCAGCCACATTGTGCATTATTCTCACCAGAAATGACCAGTACTGGCCACCATCGTTTCACATCCTTGAGACTCGAGAATGCAACTGCAGCACTCTTGAATGGCTGTCAAATCAAACATTCTGTGGAGCTATCTGGAGAGGAAATGGCGAGACTCAGATGAGAGATGCGAGTGCGGCGTATCCATCCTTCATTTCCGCTGTGGTGCTTACTCCATTACTGCCACATTTTCTGAACCATTTCAAGACTGTTAACTATCGAGATTTTTTTCTAAGTAAACTGAAGCACTGGCAATTATAACACTAAATTAAGAGTGGTTATGGTTTATGTTCTTCTTATAAAAATAGTTTTATAATTGTTATCAATTCGATTAAAGTTTTCCTTTAAACTTTTCTAGGATTTTCTTGCCCAAAGAAAGGGAATCCTGAGGAGAGTTCGCCGCCATCTGGCGATAGTTCAACTTTATGGGCTGATGCCAATGGAGCTTGTCATTCCGAAAAGACATCGGCTCCAGCCGGAACTCTATCGCCTCCTCCAAGTTGAAGTTCTCGAAGTCCCTTTCCTTTTGGCACATTCCTCGAGCCCGCAGCTCAAAGGCATTTGGCTCAACGCCGGGCCGGTAGGCGACCATATATCGGCTCTCATCCCAGCCGTTGTAGAACCTCGTCTGGCAGCCCAACTCCTGGGCCAGCTCCTGTGCGATGGCCTCCTGCAAGGGCATCATAGGTTTAAATTCAATGAATCGGCGTCGACTGTCGAGGAGCCGACGCAGTCTTCGTAGAACCACGTCTCCATGACGAACAAGGCATGACAACTCCGCACGTGGCAGCTTACTGGAGTCTCTGGGACGCATCTTGGCTTGAATGGAGCAGATCAGCTGGCGGAGAGTGCCCTTGAAAGGATACGCCTCGGGCGGCACAACGGTTTTGCCAAGCTCGGAGAGGATTCGCGGCTCTTCACAGGATACATGGCTTATGGATTTCCCTGGAATATCTGGCAGAGTATATAGTTTGATCAAGGTATGCGATCTTCGGCTAACCCCTAGCTTACCGTGAGTGATGTTCTTTGTATCGCTTTGCTGCTTTTCAAGCTTCTTGTCCGACATTATTGAATACTTCTCCACTTTAGCTCAGTTGCGAGAGTTCCTGCCAGTCTTAAAGTTGCTGAGAATTCTGCCAAGTCTGAACAAATTCCTGACAACCAACTTAAGGAATTCCCACTCAGCAAATTTGCAATTTGAATTAAATACAGAAATTTCTCCAGACAGAGCTAATTGGGTTAATTTTCAGCAATGGACAGCGAAGAATGACAGCACACGGAGTTGCTTTCAGTGACATATGAGGTTCTGCAGCAGAGTTGGGGAAAATCCATTTGAATTGGTGACAACCCATAAAAAAGTGTTAGGATATTGATATTTGAGCTAATACATCAGTTATTTGAGAGTTAAGCAAATAAATAATAATAAAGAATTCAAAACTGAATAATTTAAGAGTAGCTTTATGGCCCAATTCCAAACCAATCCGGATATTATTATGGCCCCTAAAACTAAAATCAAAGTTTCACTGCCCCGAAAAAGTCAGTGCGGAAAATTGCTGGTCGTTTTCCCATTCAAAGCAGGGCCTCCGGAGTGTCAGAGTTGACGGGAAACTTTCATGGCTGAAAGAGATTCCGGGAGATGAGCCAACCACAAGAGCAATGGACACCGAAAATCAGCCAGGAGTTGGGAGTAAGCCAGGATTCCTCATGCATCGAACGGACAAGAAAAGGCAAACTTCTTTGGTGAAAGGTTTTATTGCTCCTAGCCGCCTGGATATGTCTTCTTTGGGAATGGGGATAAGGGACGCGGGATGAGGGATGATGACGGTGGCCCGGAAAAGGGAGCAGCCCGCCGAGGAGTTGTACTAAAGTAAATGAAGCGTGACGCTTTGTTTTCCTTTGATTTAGTTTTATGAGTCTGCATCGGATGTAATTGAATTATGCAAGTTGGCGCCGACGGCAGACGACTTTATTAGCATTCGATCGTAAAAGGGGCAAAAGGGGAGGCTGATGATGACACGGATGATGGAGAACTCCAGGAGGCTGACTACAGCGACTGGATACAGGATACATGATACTGTGACATGGTTACGCTTTTTAGCAGTGACATTTGAATTTCAGATGATTCCGCACAACTCGCGGTGAAATGAGTTGGAAAATATGAGGATGGAGTCGCGATACAGGGGATACAGGATACCCGACACTCCTCCGACCTGCTGGAGCAGGCACATTCAGTGATAAGCAGCTCAATGAATGCACGATGCGATGGCAACAGGATGGAATCCATAATGAAATGACAATTTGCAGGCGGACAAAGCGGGCCGCAGCCTAATTGACACCAATGGATGTCCGGGTGCAGGACGGACTGGAAAATAGGAAATCGAAGCTGAAACTGGACTCCAGCAAGGACAACCCCAACAAGGATTTGCTCTCAGGGCAATCCTCTGGGGAGAGTCAGGATAAGAGGACAGAAATCGATTTGTCAACTGCCTCAGAGCATTTGCGGAGGGTTCTGTTTCAATATTGTAAGCCAATAATTAATATGTGAGTCGCCATGGCGCCAGGATAACCCCGCTGCGGATGTGCTGCCAGGTAGAAGGGGCAATCTGTCAACCCAGTGCGGGTTTCGTTTGTCAAAAATGCAGAGCTGGAGAGGCACCGCATCCCAGAATTGACAGGGAATACCATCGTCCGATTACAGTTTCATGAACAGTCGCATGAGGAGGCAAGTGGAGCTGGGTGGAGGAGGACAGATCCTGTACTGAAACCAATGACAAACTGAAATCAAATGCTGTATTTTTCCTGCTTTCGGGATGCCGCAATCGGAGAAGTGCAAGGACATTGGGATTGAGACTGGCTTGCATCCTGTCGAGTTGAGTTGTGTCGTGTCCGACAAGGACTAAGCTGTATCAGGCGATCCAGGGAAAGTGGCACTGGTAACTCACGCATCGCCACGCAGACTTACAACAGCCGGATGATATCGTAATTTGCCCCAACAGGAGAGGAGGGTCATCGATTGCTGCAGTCATCAGCGAGGGAACAATGCACTTAACCAGACCTGGAGGAGGTGCTATTCGCACTGTCCTGCTTTAAACCTCAAGCTCTTTGGAAAAGTTCTACTTCATCGAGAAAAGTTGTCTAAAAATGCTCACGTCCTCGGCACGTGACCAAAATGTTTGGCCATAAACAAGGAAAATATGAAAATGAAGAGGCGAACTCAGCAAATAAAGGAGGAAATAAGGAGGAAGTTGGGAGTCGGTAATCGGGCTGATATATTTATCCTGCAGAAACTTCGCACGAAGCCTCTTCAAAAATTCATCAAGGAGACGCGCTCAAGTCGACTTCAGCTGAGTTGAGTTCGTGAGTCGTCCTTCGCCCCGCTCCCTCGCTCCTTCACTCCATCGCTCCTGTGGGCGTGGACATTAACCCCAATTGGCTAAATGGCTCATTAGGTCACTGGTGGAGTCCTCCTTGGCTCGCTTCAATGGAAGTGGAAATGAAATTGGAAACAGGAGCAACACAAGCGAGTTGCACTACTGCGTGGTCAGTTATAATTAGGGACATTCGCCTTCGGAGCTTTACGAGCGAGCGATTAAGCGAAAGGATACGGTGGTCACAGCTACCGTGGGAGTAATGGAAAGTCCTAGGACAAGGCGAATGCCAAGTCCTTTTGAGCTGAGCTGACCCACTGCGTAGAAATGAGTCCTCATTCCAACCTCACCTCGCATTCAATATTATTAATAGACGACATGGATCCTAAGGAACTCGTAAACATATCGGTTACAGCCGGTTCTTTGTCCAATTGGAAAGTGGCCAGAATCATGTCCGGGATGTTTGCTTAGGAGCTCCAAAGGGAGCGGCTGTGGCTGAGCATAATGCCAACGAAAAGTGTATCCCCTCAGTGTTAGACAGTTGATTAATAGGCCATAAACCAAGCGATTATCATTCCGCTTTTGGGTGGAAGAGGGGGAAAAGGACACTCCATCTGAACCCAGTAGGAAGTCTCTCCCCTTTCGGTGTTGGAGTACCAGTTCCCATTTAGAATTAGCCAGGATATGCGATGTTCCACTGTGCAAAGTGTGGTGGGTGATTGCCACTTGTTCGCTGGGGAACATTTCTAGTGGTCTCGGGTTCCAAATACGTCTGCCTGGGCAACGTTTACCGTTATGATTGCAGGCCAAACTTCCTCTGCTCCTCTCCAGCTGATGATTTTCCCTTGAAGTTGCCCCACAATCAAGGATACGTGGATGAGGGACGTAGGGTGAGAGAGTTGGGGAGACGCCAGGCTGTAATTGCTTAATTTGATTACGTGCCGCCGTAAAAAGCAGAACAGGAAATTTGCACACACACAAGCTCCGTGCTGGGTAATGAAGTTAGGATGGATGCACGGACGGATGGATGGATGGACGGATGGATGGATGGTTGGATAGGTAAATGGGGAGTCAGAGAGGCGTTCCCCAACCGCAGGCTCGGGACTCAAAGCCACCCCTTAATGGAACCCGAGCGACTTTAAACTTTATCGCAGATGGCAAACAACTTAATTCGTGTTTCGCCTGAACCTTTCGCCGCCTTCGCCCGAATGTCGCAGGCCATTTGCCATAAACAACAAACAAGACGGGGAGTCAGGAGTGGGAACAATGGCGTCAAAGGATCGAAATGGGAAATGGGAAACTGTTCGCGTTGGGCGATAATTAGAAGCGCCCAGTGCACGCTCAATTAGAAGCTTGTAGCCACAACCCAGGAACCCAGGAATCCAGAACCCAGGAACCCGGGAGCAGAGGAGCAGAGGAGTGAGTTCGGAACACGGAACATGGTCTCTCCCACACGGCTGCACTCTCCTCCGTGCTGCAGACACGCGATGATCCAGAGCGACTCTATATGGAGTGGAGTGGAGTGAGTTCCTGAATGTCTTAATTAACTGTTGGCTGCACTCTGCGAAATCAACAGGCCATAAATGAGGGCAGAGGGGAGTTACTGAGCCTGAGCCTGAGCCGGAGATATGGCCCGCTGTTTGCCTCTAAATAATGTCGAGGACGTCGTGCCTCATATTTATGATTCGCAATTATTCTACAACGTGTGGCGGCAAATCTCCGCCTGCTCGCCTGGAAATTGCACTGGAGTTGGCTTTTAGAAAGGGTTTCCATACCAACTCCGATGTGGATGGAGGCGGGTGCTCCTCTTATCTGATCCTGGATACACGGAGAGTGCATGAACGTAAACACGTCGCTCACACTCGTGCGAAAGGGCAAATGAATTTGAGTTTTCTGTTTTTATTTTTTGAAGGGGGTTTCTTCGGCTTTTCGAGGGGTTTTTTGGTTTTTGGTTTTTGTTTTTATTTTGGCGTCAACAACGGCAGACGAAAGTGTTTTCCAGACAAATGGAGCCGGGGGAGGATTAAGAGTTAAGGGTTAGGGGACTGGAGGCCCACTATTACATGTCACTTGGCCATAAAAAGTTTATGTCTGACATGAGCCAAAAACAATTTGCATATTTTTATACTGGATAACAACTTAATTTAGGATATGCCCGGAGACATTCGAGGGGCTGCGTGGCCAACTGGAACGGAGCGGTAATTAAGCGGCGTTCCGGGGCATGGGTTGGCCTTAAAGGGATCCGCGCTCCAAGTCCTGCCAGTGGCACTCGGGCGGATGCGCGATTTCGGGTCCTTTCGCACCTTTGCAGCTCAGCGGGTGGCGTCGCCGTCGCTGGATTGAAATTGCTTTTTGCACATTTCCCATCCACAGAGCTGGGCGAATTTTCTTTTCGCCCTTGCTTTATTTCTTTATTCCCTTCTCATGGCTTTTCCCCACTGGCTGCTGCAGTGGAAATGCAATTTATTTGCTGTCGCGGGCATTAAACGCGCTGCGCTGACTTTTGACTGACGCCATATTTTCCGCCACATTTGCAATATTCGCACGAGCCGAACGCTTCCGCTTCCGCTGGAGCTGGTACTGGTGCTTCTTGGCCGCCGCCCTCCCGGCTTTCATTTTTCAAAACTGTCAGCCGCGCATATTTCACTTCCCAGTCGCTTTTCGGCATCGCACACTCCTCCGTGTTCCCTTTAGCTTTGTGCTT